AGTATGTGGAAAATAATGTGTTTTTTTAACCTTAAACCGCATAAACACATTTCATTACACCAAATACACAAAATAATGTTCTTTTTAGCAACATCATATGACCCCTTTAAAAAGTGAAGTATACTTTGGGCTTTAATGTCCCCGCAAAGCTCAGCAGTGCAGTTTAACTCCTTGTTTTTCAAGACAAATAAAAGCTTAAAAAATCATGAGTGCTTTTATGTTGTAGAATAAAATGTGAAAATATTTTGAGCTTGTGTTAATCAGAGACATTTAACCAAGAACCCATTAAAAAAAAAAAAAAAAACTATTGACTTCAGGATGATGGAAGTGGAAGTCCAAAAATGCAAGTTTCCAGGTTTAAGTACTCATTCCTGCAGCACTGTATTGTGGCCACTGATAGTGTTGTTTATTTGTTCATGCTATTTTAGTGCTGATATCTGGAGGAAAAAAAATCTGGATGTTTTCAATGTCACACTGTTCCTGTAGCTCAAAATGTAGAATTGCACTAGCAACACCAAGGCCATGGGATCAATTCCCAGGAAATACAAGAAATGATAAAAAAGTGATATAGATATAAATATAGTAACTACATCACAGCCTCTATGTGATAGATGTAAACCATCACATTAGGACAAACAGAATATGGTTATATGTGGATGTCAACCATATCTCAGTATTGTGTATTGAATATATCTAGAATGCTGGGTTGTAAAAAAAAAACAATTATGTTTAAGTACCCATCACATACTCAAATCTTAAAATGTGTTCAGATCTCTGTATTGAGACTCGTATGATGAGAGGATAGCCAACTGGGGTTTGTTCACACTGCTGGCAAATTGGATTTGATTTTCAAATCTGGCCTATAGGACTGATTCTCTATATTGTCATTGTGCAAGTGTGGAAATCTGATTTTGTGGTCTATATTCAATGCATCTGCATCAGTTGCTATAGTAATGATATATTTCAAACCAATGCCAAGAAACAACAACTGTAAGTAGCTGTCATTGAGAGGTTTGAAAACTGGTCAGTTTTCTTCAGTTTGCTCATGTCTTTCACAACATTTTATTGTGCATTACTGTGCATGACAGTATTGTCCAAAACTGCTGACTCATTCACTATATATTGAATATTGTGTAATTCATTAGAAAAGAATGAACACACATGTATATTCGGGTAGAGTTCAAGTATTGTGGACTTAGTTTGCATCATTTTCTTAATTAGGAACGAACACTTGAAATGCATTACAAAATAATTAGGGGTTTGGAAACATCTGAGTTAATGTGCTTTTTGGTGATCACCCTAGAAAACAACTATAGTGATTTGAGTCAGTTACACCAAACAATCAAATGTTGCTGTCTGTCTGAACAAAGCCGAAATATCCTTCCCTGCTGCTGTAGTCAGCATTACAAAGACCTTTTCTGCTTGATGAGATGGAGGACGTTGAAAGAGGACATCTTACCATTATTTCTGAATATTCAAGAAGTTGGATAGCATCCATAAAGTGATTATCTGTCCGTCCTCTGAATGCTTAATCTCTGGTGTCACTGTGTCGCCATTAACACATTGTGCCTTTACAATATATATTGTGCCCTCTGGCTTAGAGGACAAAACTGATTCGTTTTTCCATCTAGTGCTGTAAATTTGAAGCATTTAAAAATATCATGGATTGAAGACATGACTAGAGATGATATTTAAAATGTCAAACAATTCATTTGCTCTAGAGAGCTCATCCCAATTTATGATCATGTGAACTGACGATTTGTTCTTTAGAGATTAATGATAGACTTTTGTAATGTTCCACTTTGTGCTTATGTAGCATTCAACATGAATTATAATTTTTGATGTTGACATTTTGTACAAGGCTGCTGGCATTGACCTTGTCTGGCAGTGGGCCACTTTGACACTCGTCGTAGCATGACTTGCTCTAACCTTCTTCACTGATCGACTTTTTCTTGAACCGTTTTTGCCAGCCCATTTCATTTTCAGTGAGTTGAATGGCAAAGGGTCTTCAGTTGACAAAAGCCAACCTCTTGTCATTTCTCCTTGTACCCCTGCAGAACTCGCCTGGAGGAGTTGCGAATGTTTCTTGAAAATGAAACATGGGAGCTGTGCCCTGTGAAGTCCAATTTCAGTATTGCCCAGCTTCACGTAAGTCCTAATGCCACAGATAAGACATTGAAATGCAGCAATGTGATTTTTATTCATGACTGGCAGTCTTTTGGGATTTCACATTTGCATATGAAGATGAGGCGGAGAGTTTTTGTTCTGTGCGTGCTTCGCAGTGACAATCAACACATGGCTACAAGCCAAAGGCATATGAACATGCTTTCTTATATAACAATCACTGTTTATAGACAAATTCTCATGATTAGTGGGTCAAAGAGTGTTCTTTATGAGAGCCATGCCGGAAATTAGATCAGTCCCCAGTGGGTGGTTTTCTAACCAAATAGAAGGCGTTTTTGTAGATCATCTTCCTTCAGGTTTCCCATCTTGCCGTAATGGAGGGATTTTATATGCATTTTAAATCTCTGGAAAGGCTTGACAACTTGATAAATGAGGGAAAGCATCATCACTGATTGTATTCCAACATAAGCTGTTTTCTCTTCTAGTCAGGGTGTCATCCGTCTCAAAACAAATTACATCCTGGTAGGCAAGTATATTCACCCGAGAGTTTCCATCGAATAAACTGAAATGCATCTCTTTCAATTATTATATGCTAAACAGGGTCTTTTGCTCGATAAAGTGTTCTCTGATAGACCTTTTACACTGTTTTGTGCAGAATATACAGGTATTTTCTCAAAACAAGTACCACTAGTTTTGTGTGGTAGAGAAAGCCGGCACTGAAAAGCACATCAGTGAATGGCATAATCAGTGGTGCTCTTTAATGAGCCACATTTGCATAACGACTTCTTGCTGGAGCTCTAATGTGCAAAGCGGTTTAACTGTGAGAAGCTTTAGGTCACCTAGCGCTAGTGCTCAAAGCTTTTGCACTCTCACCCTTGCAGTTTAATTGTTAATTTAAAAAAAAAAATTTAATTACAGTTTTGCAGAATGAGCTTTGCAGAAAGTACATTTCCAAACCTAAATGCCCCTGTAAAAAGAAGTTTGAAATACCTGATGAATACAGTATGTAACTGTGCTGTGTGCTTCCCACTCAATAATAAAATAAAAATACAACTTTGACAAAACAAAACAAAACTGACGGGTGAGAAAATAGCAGTTAAGGAAGCATCTGATCATAATGAGGTGGATATCTTTTGTACCAGCTCTGCAATTCGGCACTTCAGTCAAGTCATGTCTCATCACATTTATTTATATAGCACTTTATAGCACATGTAAAAACAGTGTCAGTGTCGCTTTCAGTGTCAATTTCTGCTATACAGCAGCTTACCAGTGTGTTCATGTTTTTACTCGCGTCTAACCTTGACAGGCTAAACAGAAGCAATGAACCAGAGAAGAGCACACTACCTACAGTATTATAAATCACCAATTGAAGTTATTTACCAGCCAGAGCGAACTTTTCCGGAAAGTTTGCTTTGGCAAGCCGTTTCAAACTCCCGAAACAAACTCCAAACGAACTTCATTTTGACCTGATTTTGTTCAAATTAATGTCACACCAGTTCGTTCTTCAATTTCGCTTGAAGTATATTGGGGCCTTTAGAGCCTTTTTTTCCCTTGGACATTCAACCAGCACAAACAGTTCAGTTAAACCTAGTCCACCTAATCTCCACCTAGCCTACTTTTTTTAGCTTTTTGATCTGTATGATATGAAATCTGATACATTTGTTTCTTTTTCAGGAGTTTAGGTTCATGGGTCAGTGTCGTTCCCCTTCAGTATCTCCCAGCAGGCAGCCGGAATCCACAGAGCCGGTGGAGCTTTGTCTGTTTGAGCAGTACCTGCAGGGTGGAAATCCTTTTGAGATGCAGATAGACAATAAGGAAGAGGAGACAGAGGATGTCCTGGCTTCTAATGGGGTATGTAGTAGTTTAAGAAACATTAATGGCATTCAGAGCAACATATAGGTTCTAGCAATATTTAAAAAGTCAAATTACAGTAAATGCCAACTGTATGTGGTAAAAAAAAAAAAAAGGTGTTTGTTTGAGTTTTATTTTTTTTTTGTATCTTTTTGAAAGTATTCATCCAGTTTTTGCGTGAACAAAATTTCAGTGCATCTCTTGTATATGGATAAATTCCAGTAATTTCTAGACCATCTAAATTCTTGATTCCTCTATATTTCAGTATTTTCCTAGAATAATCAGCACAGTTCAACAATATTTATGCTAAACTATTTGGCATCAGGCTTGAGCAAACAAGCATTTTGAAGGGTTTACAGTTACATTTATATTCTTATTAGATGCTTGCCAAACCGTCTGCTGAAAAGGAGAAAATAAATGAGAGTGAAAATTAGATGCGTGAATATTTTGTAACGTTAAGTGGCTCATTGTCCTTATAACTGTTGACAGAGGCCATTACTTCTTTGTGGAGAAAATACTCATCATTATTAAAGCTCTGATGTGGCTCTTGTAATGAAAACAAACACTCTGTGTTGATGACTGAGAGTGCGAGCCCTTGGTACAAGTGCTTTTACCCTGAGAGAGAACAAAGTGTTTTTGTCTTGTAAAGCTCACCGGTTTAAATATTCCATGGTGTTTTGTTAGTAACTAGATACAATGTGATGCATCCATCAGCTTTACATTCTCTCATTTTCTTTGCTGACTGGAGGGGTTGTTTAAGGTTACATTTATCTATGTTGAATCTGCAGCACGTTTTTGACACTGGTGCATTAAAGGCCTTTTATTTCAAGGCCAGCTCTGAATCTCAGAGAATTAAGGCTGAATCACTGGGCTATTTTTATGATATGCTTTGTTTAGTTTCTCATTTTACACATCAGTTATCTGCTCTTTCTGCTGGTTTGCTGGTCTTAGATGGCTTAAGGTGGTCTCCCAGCCCAGCTAAGCTGATTTTCAGATGGTTTAATGGTCTGTTGGACTGCTAGTCAGACTAATGCAAACTAGACCAGCATGAGCAGGCTGGGAAACTTATCTAAAACCAGCTTAAATTCTTAATAATTAAACCTTTTCCTAAAAGTGGACACTAAACAGTAAATGTATACTACTTTTCAAAAGTAGTGTTCATTTTTGTTTTAGTCTCTTATGCTCACCAATGCTGTAAAATAGCAGTAAAAAATACAGTAATGTTTATAGTTAAATATTACAATTTAAACTTTTTGAATATATTTTAAAAATGTAATTTATTTCTGTGATGGCAAAGCTGAATTTTCAGCAGCCACTCCTTCAGAAATCATTTTAATTAGCTGATTTGCTGCTCAAGGAACATTTCTTCTAATTATCAATGTTTGCAATGCAGTTGTGTGGCTTAATATTTTTGAAAACCACGATCCTTTGAAAATCATCCTTTTTTTCCAGAATTCTTTGGTGAATATAAAGTTCAAAAGAAAAGCATTTATTTGAAATGGAAATCTTTTGTAATGTTATAAAAGGCTTCACTTTAAAATCAATTAAATGCATTTTTTCTGAATAAAAGTATTAAAGGGGTCATATGATGCGATTTCAAGTTTTCCTTTCTCTTTGGAGTGTTACAAGCTGATTGTGCATAGATAAGATCCCTGAAGTTGCAAAGACTAAAGTCTCAAAACCAAAGAGATATTCTTTATCAAAGTTAAGACTCTGCCACACCCCCCTAAAACGGCTCGTTCTAACACGCCCCCACATATCTAGGTCACTATGTGGGAATATTTGCATAATGCGCCCAAATGTGCACGCAAAGAAAGAAGGCGTGGTTTCAGTAACCGCAGTTAGTGTTGAAACAGCCATGTCAGGGAGACGCTGTGTGTTTCTAGGCGAAAGCAGAAGCACTTTATTTGGCCTTCCGAAAGTAGATGCATTTAGGAATTTTTAAGATCACTTACAACAGAACAGCAATGCATTTTATGGATGACCGTTTCATGAACCTAGGAGAGGAGGTAATTCTGACTTTGCTATGACAATCTGGCGCTTCTGAATCAGCGACTGTAAGTATGTTTTGTTACTAGTTTAAGTATTTGCTATTGACTGTTCAAATGCGGAGTTTTGCGCATCGTGTGTGTGTGTGTGTGTGTGTGTGTGTGCACTCGCGCATGTGTGTGTGTGTGAGAGAGAGAGAGAGCGTCACATCACAGTAGAAAAATTGTTTGAATGGTACTGTTTATGAATCATTCTGGTTTGCCGTTCTGTTTCTTCTCTCGGCAGTATGAGTCAGATGAGCTGGAGAAGAGCGTGTATCAGGACTATGACAGTGATAGTGATGTACCTGAGGAGCTGAAACAAGACTATGTAGATGAACAAACAGGAGACGGTCCAGTGAAGAGGTCAGTACTGAGTCATCATCTAGATCAGTGTTTCTCAACCCTGGTCCTGGGAGCCCCCCAACACTGATCATTTTGTATGTCTCCCTTGTCTGACACACCCATTTCAGGTCCTGGAGTTTCTTCTAATGAGCTAATGAGTTGAATCAGGTGTGTTTGATTAGGGAGACACACAAAATGTGCAGTGTTGGGGGGCGCCCAGGACCAGGATTGAGAATCACTGATCTAGATGCTCACGTCTCACAGTACCACCTCTAGGTTCTGAATACTAAGTAATTGCCCACCAAATGGTATGTCCACATTCAGTTTACATGGTTTACATGATACATTCAGTTTTTGTATATAAATGAGCGTGCTGTAGATCCAGGTCGCTCATGAATCGGTTCATTAACCCAAGACAAGGTCAGGAGGCAGCAGACTTCTCATTTATGGACTCATGTTTCCTCTAAGGCAACAGAAATAGTTTAAATTCACACTGTGTACAGTGAAAACACAAGCTATCATTAGCCTCTTATCAGCAAGAAAGGCTTTATTTATTTAATGAAGAATGAGCCTTTTAAGTCCACAAGGCTCCCGTTTAGAGCCATTCGGGGCTTTGATGTTAAACAAACAGTCTCAAGGAGATTGTTAAAAAGGCTCCTTTTGGAATTACATCATGTGGCTGTATTGCCAACTATATGAGTGTGCAAACTGGCATTTTTTTTTCTATATTTCATAATTGCTCTTGGCTTGGTCTCCATGTCTAAGTGTGATAGAAATATCATAAATCAAGGGAATGATTAGGAATGTGATTAGGCAGTGAACCCTGATGAATATTTAATACCTATTTGTTCCTCACGAAGATGACTGACAGTTCTCCCTGCAGTAAATCAGCTGGCACATTCCATGTTGTGACACTTCATTGTTAGAGACTGCCGCATTTTTAGGGCTCTAATGTTTTGCATATTTAAATTGACATAAATTTTCTTAAATGCAATATTGTGACTCTTGCTCACATTCTGTGACTTCAGTGCTTGTTTAGAACACATCTGGAAAATTCTGGGCTCAAGCCATGTTCAATACAGCAGTTGTGTTGATGATGTTAATTACCACAGAAGTAATTTCGACTTGCTCTTCATTTTCTTTGAAAAAGCAAAAATGGAGGTTATAGTGAGGCACTTGTCATTTTTAACACTTGTTTATTATTTGAACTGTAAACCTGTTTCCATCATAACTTTTTGGGTTTATGGCAGTGCATTTTCATGGCTACAAAGTAACAAAATTGGATATAACTTTACACAGAAATGGTTGGCAAATAAATTAGTTCACGTTAAAGTCATGTTAACGCACATACTGAACATATGATCTATGATAAAGATAATGCATCTGTTCTGCAAAACCCAGAACACTCACTTCAGTTAAATCCGAACCCAGGTTAATGAAGGAAGTGTGTGAATGAGACCTCTTCAGTTTTAAAGGTCATTGAACTATAATGCTCCTAACAATCCTGGATCTGCGTGTCCCTGCTCTGTCCTCCTTTAATTAGCGTGTCCAGGGAGACACTTCGCAGCCGGAAAAGGTCCGACTACAATGCCCCCATCCTTACCAACACCACCCTCAACGTGATTCGTCTGGTTGGTGAGTAATTGACCTTTGAGCTTGTACCCGTGCAAGACTGATGGTGCATGATAAAGTTGACCCTAGGCAGAAGACCACAGTTTGCCCTCTAATTAAGAGCCTAATAGCTCAATTACTATGAAAGAGGTGCGTTCTTAGAGCCAGCTGTGTTCTGTTTCAGCTTCCGGTCATTAGCTCTGTTCTGAGCATGTGCCTGCTCATCTCTTCAGGTTCATTTGAATGCACGTTTGACGTGTTGAATGAGATAAAGGCTATGACGCCATTCATCTTTAAATGTTCAGTTAAAGTTAAACAAAATCTATTTGCAAAAAGATGCTGTCATGAACCCATGGATGTGAATTTTTCTCTGGTGTTTCGATGAAAGTGCTGATGTTGTGAAATGGACAATAGATTTAGGCGGTTCAAAATGTTTTGCTGAAATCAGCTGGAATAGTTTTTACATCCAGATGTTAAAATTGATTAAACACCATCTGGTAACTTCATCAGTTTTTTTATCCATTTTGATTGACTGGTGAGAATCTTGTTTCTCAAAATATTGAGCCTTTTAAATTATTTTAAGTTGAGAGGAGAGAAAATGCTCCCTTAAAAGGATAGCTAGGAAAATTCTGTCATTGTTTACTCACCCCCATGTCGTTTAAATCCTGTATGACTTAATTTCTTCTTCAGACCACAAAGAAAGATATTTTGAAAAACTGTTTTGTCCACATAATGAAAGTCAGTGGGGTCCAAAACAACATTGGATGCCATTTTCATTTTTTTTTTTTCCCCCAAAATATTTCTTTTAAATACGACACAAGGGCTTTTGAATGGGACATTTGCCAAAGTATTGCATTTCAGTTCTGTACATCAACATGATTTGCATTCATATTTCCCTAAATCTGTGGTTTTATATTCTGTATGTGAACCTTATTTGTTTGCCTTTCATATATATTTCACTTTTTTTTCTGATTGATTTTGCTTTTATAGGAAAATATATGCAGATGATGAACATTCTGAAGCCCATCGCCTTTGATGTCATCCACTGTGTGTCTCAGCTCTTTGATTATTACCTGTATGCCGTCTACACCTTCTTTGGCCGCAATGACATGGTATGCATTTCAAAGCATTTTTGTTCTCCTCCATGTTCAGTGTTAATACTTAAGATTATGCAATATTTATTATTTACAATTGGATCCTTGCTGTGCTGTGTTGTATATTTTGTCTGGATGTTACACGTTCATTAAGAAAAGCCTGTGAAGTACACTCATTGTTTTTCCCTCTAGTGTCTGCAAGCCTTATGGGCACTGTTCTATAATTACTTCCATTATCATGTGAGCAAGTGTTTAGGTGTAGAGTTTGCCTCAGGAGGCTGGACTCTGAACATCAAAGAAAGATACAAATGTCTGCATGAATTCTCAGTTGCTAATTTTCACCATTCCTAAAAATCAGGTTTGTAGTAGAAATGTAACTCTACTGTAACTTGACATCTAACTTGCATGCACAAACGGATAGATGTGCTTCAATGATCCTTGAGAGTTTGAGATACAGTATTATGGAGAGATTTGGATAAAGAAAATTGCGCCTGCAGAAGTTCATGTCTAGAATTGTTGAGTGATTTCAATGCAGACCTCTGCACAGGCTTGTGCCCTGATGCTACAGTTCTTGAGGCTTTAATAAGCACAGCTTTAGGCTAGATTAATCAGTTTTGAGAGCTGGGCCTTCCTAAATAAAATTAGGCAGCAGCTCAATTATCCTCATAATTTTCACTCTTTGAGACTCAATAAGCCATATCTGAAGAGTCTTCAATGCCTTCGCCAAAACAGCAATATCCCACAATATAACACACTTTAGCAGCTCCATTGAAAGCAGCTTGATTCTTGCTTCCCAGAGCTCTGGTTATTTTCTGTGCACTGTCCCAAATGACCTTACAACTTAAGCCACCTCATCTGCCCAGACGTTACTGGAATAATAAAGCATACATGGAGTTGCCTTGTTTGCTTTGATTTCCCAGAAGTCTGACTCAAGCCATTGCAGATAAACTGGAAAAGACACCCACTAGTTGCAATTCAGGCGTTTCAGCTCCCTAAGACTCTGGTACCTTCCTTTTCTTCCATACAGTAAAAGTCTTCAAGACCCTGAATTTGTGACATGATTTCAACCATTTGACCTCTAAATGAGTCTTTGCACTTAAGCTTTGAGCCTGTCAGCTATCCTAACATGGGACTCCCGTTTTTCAGACCTTTGAAGTAAAGCCACTTTTCAGTGACATTATCTGCTGCTCAAATGGGTCCATGCCTCTACCTCTGCAGACAATGTGACTTTCTGCAAACTTTCCTTCCCAAGAAGTTTGAGATTTTCAGGACTGCCTTGTCTACTTGATAAAGTCATGGTCCTTTTGAACACTATTGCAGTAAATTAATTCCTGAGTGCAGAGGGAGGGACATTGAATTGTCTCACTGTTTTCCACCTATGTGAGCTGGCAGAATCTGTTGAGGAAGGCAAGCTTGTTAAACTGCAGTGGAGGTCATAATAAAGCTCTTGGTTGGGGCTTTGGTTTGGCAGTGGCAGCCCAAGGGCATCTGACTGAACCTGTTATAGACAACTTCCTGCTGTTCTTGGACATCCCAGCCATGCAACCACACTGATAGTCAAAGGAGTGAGATTTTCAGACCTCTACTGCCTTGCAAACAGACCTCAACACCTGCATTTTCCACCTTGTTTCACAGCTGTCCTTACTTACTGACTAACACTGTTGACCACCTCAAAGAGGTGTTTGTTCTTGGTAGTCTTCAAGAAGCCATGAACTAAATCTCTGGGAAGAAGAAGCTGAGCAGTTGGATCCTTAGTGTGCCAGTAACATTATTCAGTTCCATTGTTTCATTGTTAATATCCTAACATTCTTATGAGAACTATACAACAAGACCAACCCTATCAATAATACCAGCCTGTCAGTCTAGGCTTTGATTGGCATGACCAATGACATGCTGTTTTCTAAATGGAGTCTATGGGCTTTATCAACTGTAAAAAGGTGTTTCTGTCTTTGGATTTGACAGTAGTCTTTAATCCTACCACACAAGCCAGGTGGGGTTGAAACATTTGTCTTACGAAACAAAAAGATCTCCAGACTTCATCTGTCGTGCATTGAATTCTGGTCCCAGTGATGCTTTTATGGCCAAAGTCTCAGCAGCCTACAGCGGTTCTACTTTCCATGTTTTTATTTTCATAGGATCACAAAAATGTGCCATTTGCACTCTGTATGCTTTGCAAATAATTGTTTGTTTGCTGTGCTGAGCCAGTGCTAAAGCAAAAGTAAATGCTTTCATGCTGGTGGATTGAGGCCAGTGCACTTGCAGAGCAGGAGTAAAGTCTTTGCACTCTATTTGGCCTTCGCGTGTGGTTTAGCATCATTATAAGTCATAATTTCACTCCCTAGGAAGAATATTCCTGGGCAGACATGGGCCACATACAAGGGCATTTTAAAAACTGTAGGAAATGAGGAGCCCTGAGGAGAATTGGGCTTCTAGACGTATTAATCAGGACAGGGTTTCAAGATCTGGATTTTTTTGACTTGCTTTCTGAAGACCTGGCTTTTAATTCTACATATTTTTGGACATTTATATTTGAACAAGGCTTTGCTGATGTGCAAGTTTTCACTTTTGGCTTTTTATGCCACTGCTGTTCATGTGAACTAATGTGAACCAGTGAGAGATAATTCAGTCTTCTCCAGCTTGCCAAGGCAACTCTTTGCCCCCCGCATGTCCTCTGAGTGACAGTGTAGTGTATTATCTTTGATATTTAAGTGCTGACCAGAGAAATTTTCACTTTAGCTTTGTCCTGACCAAATCCAGCAGCAAATCTGAGGGAGACTGGATACAGCCTCCACAAGATCAGCTGTCAGATGTCAGCGAGGTTGAGAGCTTTGCCTTTAACCCACCCCACAGGTTTGAAGGCACATTAAATAAAACAACACATCTCATCTTTCTCCCTTGCTCTCGTTCTGGTTTTTGCACATTCACCTCTTCTGCTGAGCGGGTGGCAAGAGAAAAAGCTTGAGAGGGTTTTCTGTCGCTAATGGAAACTTTTCAAACTCTTAAATGAGTAAGAGTAGCTGTCAGTATCAGAGGCAGCCGGTCTCGAAGAGAAGCCTATGGAGACAAAAAAAGTAAATATTACTTATAAAAAAAATATTTACAAAGCGGCTGAAATTGATATGCTCATTTGGATTCGCTTTCACCCATGAGTCATGACTAACTCCAAACACACAAGACATTCAATCTCGTATGGAGATGGAGATTATGTATTGCACCATTTCATTTAGTAATGAACAACATTAGGATCTGAAAGGTGTGTACGCCATTCTATACAGCCGGAGTATTAACTCTGCCATGCACATAATTTAAGACGCATTGGTCTTGGCATGGAAAGAACGAGGAACGATATGCAAGTTGCTTATCTGAAAATGGATCACCTCCAGGATGATGAAGCACCTGAGTGTAGGGAAAGGCCTGAGTAGTGCTTATTAAGTGTTGCAGATAGAGTTAGTAATGGACGGGAAGATGCTGTCACGCTAACAGATGGGTCCTTTGGAAACTTTGCAAAAATGTTAAAGTCAGAGAAAGACTGCAGTTTTATTGTCCCCCTGGCAGCAAATCAAAGTGTTAAATTGCACAGTATTGTGCTTGGCACTGCTTGCTGTACTATTCGCTTGCACTGATGTGGTGGAAATCAGTTTTCTTTAATGATTGAATGTGTTATGTTTTAATGTATATAAATGTGTCTTTTTTTTATTATTAATTGTGCTTAAATAATGCTTTAGAGTAAAAATTCCCAGTAATTATATTCAAAAATCCTGCGTTCATCTCGAAAAAGCAGGCTTATTACTTGCTTTGTGTTGATTTTCCTTTTTGTTTCTCAATGCAAAGCACTTCCAATCTGCATCTCTGCCTTCACAAGGCTCTCAACCTAGTGTGTCCAGACAGGCGGTCCCTGTCTATTGGGTAAGACTGTTGTGTGGAGCCTGCTGGCAGTAGAAATGCCTGCCACTGTGTGCTGTGTTTTTTTTTTGTAATTACTTTATATTATTATATATATTTTTATTATAAATATATATTTCATTAATTATATTATATTGTTAACAGACAGTCTGTTAAATCTAATGGGAGGTTTCTGTAAATGCTTGCAAATGAACATGAGACATTTATAATTAGTTGTAGTCACCTCAGTGTGCTCAAAAAAAGAATCATTTAACTATTTATTGATTCTACATCTTGAACTGAATTACACAAAAAGTTGTTTGAAAGGGATTTAAGCATTATACTTTTAATGCTTAAATCTGTTATGAAGTCATGTACAGTTTTTAAAAGTAAAAAATTTTTTACTGCAGTCTAATTTAGAGATTTATTGCTCTGCTCCCATAGTAAAATGTATCTTATGTTTGCCATGCTCTCGCTGATGTCAGAGCTGTTGCATATTAATAACACGTTGGCTTGCTTGCATACGTTTCTGCATTTGTGAATATATTTCCAGTGAACATTCCCAGGAGGATTTGCCAGTCCCATTCATCCTCCCCCTTTAATATAAAACTAAATTGCAATTAATGAGCATAAGTCATGAACTACACTTGTGGGAGCTGTGTGTATGAAGTGCAGTTTCCTGGAGATGATCGGTGGTGTGTGCACACTGGAGCTTTAGAGATTGCACTTTGTGAGTGTGTGTATTCCAGTATGATTGAAAAGCAACAGAGCCTCTTTCTCACGGGGTGTGTTTTGCTGTCTCCTATAGTATGAATCATCTGGGCTGGGTTTGATCAGCAGCAGACTGAGGACTACGCTCAGCCGAATACAGGAGAGCCTAATAGACATGGTGAGTAAAAACAAGGCATTTTTTCAGGTTTTTTTGTTTTTTCCTAGCTCCTTTTTTTCTGTCTCACTCCTATGGTTCATCTCCTCCCTTGGCCTCTCTTATGTAACCATTATGAATCCGAGTGGAAATAGTAGTGTGCATTTATGTGAGTTCCCTATAGCCTCTCATCAGGCCTATTATCTCTTACCCCCTGTAAGGGAAACAGGTCAATTTAGCTCAAAGGGAATCATTTAAGATTTTAAAGGGAATTTGGACAGAATCACTGTTTTACAGCTGATCACTGCAGCCACAGGTGAGTTAATCACCATCAGTACACTTAGATAGCTCTGCACTCTTGTAATAAATGTCCTTTGGTTTCCATAGTTGCACCCATTAAGGCTCTCTGGGCCAATGACCTGATACCCACAATGCACTATATACCTCTTTCTGCCGCACAAATAAGCAGTCATTATATAGGATCCATTCCCCCAGATGTCTGAATGTCAAAGAGCAAGAAAATATACCAGTCTGCATAAAATAATGAAACATTATTGTTTTTATCCTGTCGGACTTGCAAGTTATGGTGCTCAGTGGAATCTGGGAGTATGGCTCTGTCTCCAAAACTAAAAATCTAACCTACCTAGACAGCGTTTTTAGTCATCGTAGGAATTGCAGCTTGAAATTGCAAATGATTAAGCTGTCTGATTTCATTTCGGCTGCTTTTTGAGGCAGCTACAGTATATAGGTGTCTTTTGTGGATAAGGCAATCCCACATCTATTTTATGATTAGCTCAGCAAGAAATTTCCATTCAGTATAGCAAACAGAGCCAAGAGAAATTTTTTTTTTTTTTCTTTTTTTAAGAGTCGGTTGTAGACATGGCAGGTCAGGCAGTGACAGCTGTGTCCTGCAGTTTGACATGTTATATTCTGCATGACATGATATTCTTGATATTATTTTGTGCATCATTTTTTGTCAAGTTCTTGTATAATTATGTACTGTATTAGTGTTAATTTCATTAACGAAGACAATGACGAAAAATGTTCGTTGACAAGCTTTTTTCCCATAACTAAGACGAGACGACAATAAGGTCAATAAACGATAACTAAGACTATATCAACATGCAATTTCGTTGACGAAGTAAGACGAGACTAAAATGTATTCAAAAAAGATAAAAACTTTACCAAAAACCTCTTCTTATTTTCGTCAAAAAAAGGAAACACAATGTTATTGCGGACTGCTCTACACGTCTCTACTACGTGAGATTTCATGCGTGCGGTTGCCAGATATCAAGAGTTCTAATCCCCGATTCAGAGCTTCGCTGTTACATTGATACATTTTCTGCCCGGGGTTTTGCTTATTTTAAGCAATCTGGCAACCATGCGCACCTGCTCGCTCCTCATTGCGGAAGCGCCGCCGCCGATGATCGGAATACACAGACAAACAAGCTGGAGTTTAGCGATCAAAATGAAAGCCTCACTCAGCCGGTCTGTGTTCTGTCATGAGATCTCGACTCTATTGTTTGCGATTGTGATAAATGCACTTACTCAACCGCTGTTGTTTTAATAGAGAAATAGGCTATTGCCATTTGGAATTACTAGGAAATTCACCGTTAAAATATTTTTTGTTTGTTTTAGCTGTTTTCATAATGTAGACAGAGATTGCTATAATAAATCAGTACACTAGATGAGGTAAAATACACCATGTATGTGTCCACATTCTATTGATTTGTGCTTACTGGTGAAAGTGCAATACCTAAAAGGCAAAAGTAAATTTCTCAAATGACAAAAATCATTATGATTATAATTTTGAGAAAAAAATATTTTTTATCAGTTTAACCATTATACAGAATGATGAAAATTACTAAAACTTGATAAAAACTAACAAGGACATTTTAACACGGGACTAAGACTAAAATTAAAATATCTGACGAAATTAACACTAGTATTATGTACTATGTAATTTTATACTATATGGTATTTTTGTACCTTTTATAGATTATATGAAGATAAATAAATATACGATGTGTGTTTATTAATACATAATTATATAGATATTTTATATAGCTAGAATTTTTCATGTTTTTATCAGGCAAGGATTAGAAATTATGCATTAGAATACATTTGTTACAAAAGATTTCGAATTCGAATTCTGAAATGTATAACAGTTTCCTCAAAAATATTAAGCGCAAATATTGTGCACAACTGTTTTTAGTATTGATGATAAGAAATACTACTTGAGCACCAAATCAGGATGTTAGAATAATTTCTGAAGGGCCATAAACACTGACAAGGACTCTGAAGACTGAAGCTGCTGAAAATTCAGCTTTGCCTTCACAGGAATAAATTACATTTTAAAATATACTTTAAAATAGAAAACACGTATTTTAAATTGTAATAATACTTCACAATATTACTGTTTTTACTGTATTTTTAATCAAAATGCAGCCTTGTTGAGCACAAGAGACTTATTTTGTAAACATTAAAATATTATATCGACCTCAAGCTTTTAAAAAGTAGTTTGTAAGTATTGTATATATTTTATTTTAAATATTTCTTTATATGTATATTTAAAGGAACACGCCACTATTTTGAAAATAACTCCCCTAGAGCTCCCCTAGAGTTAAACAGTTGAGTTTTACCGTTTTCGAATCCATTCAGCCGATCTCCGGGTCTGGCGGTAGCACTTTTAGCTGCAGCTTAGCATAGATCATTGAATCTGATTAGACGGTTAGCATCTCGCTCAAAAATGACCAAAGAGTTTAGATATTTTTCCTATT